GCTGGTTAAACTGCACATAAAGTTTAGGAGGCTGGACAAAATCGTAAAATAATATTCATATAATTATGTACAAAGCTCCAACAATCAGCCCCTTGTCAGCTTCCTTAGCCTCAGGCCTGTTAGTATTTGAAACAGAAAAATTCTTAGGCTTTTTGAAGGGGTAGGTCTATTCCTTATGCTCCAAACATATAATATAGATCACTATTAATTCAAATTTGCTGAATTTTGACTCAGAATCGTGGTTGTTCTGGAAAATTTAATCAAGGTTTTTACATTTACACAAAACCCACAACAACTTCATGTATTTGAGACAGCAAGCAATCCTAAAGGTAATGTCAGCTTTATAAGTATTAAAGTGCNGGTTTTTACATTTACACAAAACCCACAACAACTTCATGTATTTGAGACAGCAAGCAATCCTAAAGGTAATGTCAGCTTTATAAGTATTAAAGTGCCACTATGATGAAATGTTAGGGACTGGTCATTATTTATCGAGGAGGGATGCTATATGCTATGCTTGATTTTTGCTGACCCCCCTTCTCCTTTAAGCATGATTTTTGCAGATTTTTGCTCAAACCCATGCATAAAAAATGCTGACCCACCCCCTATTTGCACCAACCCTCTCCTCCCACCCTTGATAAATAATGACCAGTCCCTTAATGTTTCCAATTTTTACAATATGAACACATGTCCAAGTACTTTACAAACTGTTAGCATTTTTAGTTTGAGAGATACTGTATTTAAGTTTTAGTAAAAAAACGTTTTTCATCGTTCAGGTTTATGTGTACTATGTCCAAGTAGCAACAATTCCTTGCTTGCATTCCCGGGCCGTAAAACTGGTCATGTGCAAATAGTGGATCTGGCGAATACAGAAAGACCTCCTTTAGAAGTGTCAGCCCATGAAGCTGCCATGAGCTGTATTGCTATGAACTTACAAGGTACACGACTGGCAACAGCATCAGAAAAGGTGGGTAATTAAAATACCAACTTTGCAATAGTATTGAAAGCTTATCATTGTTTTTTGTTTTTATATCTCAAGCAAGATAAAATGTGTCATAATTGAAGTTTTATCTAATGCACCCTGCCAATCTTGTTTGGTTAAGTGGTCGGTAAGCTGTTGGTTTCAATTGTTTGGTGAATGATTGGAAACAGTTGAGTTTTAAAGATGGTTCTCAGTTGGTTGACAGTTGGTCGACCTAGGTCATCACTACAAAAAATACCACAGATAACGGTTGACAACTGCTGTTGGTAAAATAAGAGTAAGCTGT